TGTTGGTTGTCTTTCATTTTCTTGATGATGTTCTTTGAAACATAAAAGCTTTTAATTTAGATAAAGTCTAAGTAATCTAATTTTCCTTTTGTTGCTCATGTTTTTGTTGTCATATCTAAGAATCCATTACTAAATCTGAGGTCACAAAGATTTGCCCCTGTATTTTCTTCTAAGAGTTTTATAGCTTTAGCTTTTATATTTACGTGTTTGATACATTTGGAGTTAACTTTTTTTAAAGTTTATTTTTATTTATTTTGAGAGAGAGAGAGAGAAAGAGAGCAAGTGGGGGAGAGACAGAGAGAGAGGTAGACAGAATCCCAAGCAAGCTCCAGTCTGTCAGTGCAGAGCGGGATGTGGGGCTTTATCTGAACTCAACGAACTTGTGAAATCATGACCTGAGCCGAAGTCAAGAGTGGAACGCTAAACTGAGTGAGCCACCCAGGCGCCCCTGTAGTTAACTTTTGTATGTGGAGTGAGGCAGGGCTCTAGGTTCATTTTTTGCATGTGGATACATAGTTATGCTACTAGCATAATTTGTTGAAAAGATTCTATTTCCCCACCGAAGGGTCTTGGCATCCTTATTGAAAATCAGTTGACCATAGATATGTGGTTTTATTTCTGGACTTTCAATGTTTTTTGACTGATCTATATGTCTATCCTTTAGCCAGTATTGCACTGTATTTATTAAAATTGTTTTACACTAAGTTTTGAAATTGTGAGCCTTCCTATTTGTTTTTCCTTTTGAAAGTTGTTTTGGCTTTTCCTGTTTAATTTTATGTGAATTTTAAAATGAGCTAGTCAATTTCTAGAAAGAAGTCAGCTGGGATTCTGACAGGGTTTGCATAGGTAGGTAGATCAGTTTGAGGAGTATAGCCATCTTAATGTTAAGTTGGGTTGTTTTCTTTATTTTTAGGTCATTTTTTACAAGTGAATAGAAATACAATTGATATTTGTATATTTTTGTATTTTTCTTTTTTTGTTGTTTATTTATTTATTTTGAGAGAGAGAGAGACAGCGTGAATGGAGGAGGGACAGACAGAGAGACACAATATCCCAAGCAGGCTCCAGGCTCTGAGCTGTTAGCACAGAGCTTGACACAGGGCTCAAACCCGTAAGCCATGGGATCATGACCTGAGCCGAAGTCAGACGCTTAACCAACTGAGCCACCCAGGCGCCCCTGTTCTAGTATTTTCAATCTTTCTGAACTTTTTTACTAGTTCTGATAGTTTTTTGGTGGATTCCACAGATTTTCTATATATATGATAATATCAACTCCAAAGAGAGATAGTTTTCTTCCTTTTCAATCTTACTGCCTTTTATTTCTTTCTCTTGACAACTCGCTCTGGCTACTCCATTACAATATTGAATATAAGTGGCAAGAGTGAATTTTCTTTCTTATTTCTGATCTTAGGAAAGTATTCAGTTTTTCACCACTTAGTATGGTGTTAACCTGTGAATATTTTGTAGATAGGTGAGGATGATCCCTTTTTTTAGGGTCTTTTAAAATAGATTTTACTTTTGAGAGCAGTTTTAGCTTCACAGAAAAGTGGAATGGAAAGTGCAGGATTTCCTATGTATTTCTCCCCATACATGCACAGCTTCCCCCACTGTCGATAGGCTGCACCACAGCTGTACATTTGTTACAATTGATGCACCTACACTGACAAGTCATGATCACCCAGAATGCAGAGTTTGCATTAGATTTCACTCTGGGTGTTGTACATTCTAAGGATTTTGAGAAATGTATAATGACATGGATCTACCCTAATAATATACAGGTTGGTTTCACTGCACTAAAAATTCTCTGTTCCATCTATCCATTCTTCCTTCCCCCTTAACTCCTGGCAGCCACTGTTTACATACTTTTGCCTTTTCCAGAGTGTCACATAGTTGGCTTCTTCAGATTGGGTTCTTTCACTTGGTAATGTGCATTCGTTTCCTCCATCTCTTTTCATGGCTGCATGGTCATTTCTTCTTAGTGCTGAATAATACTCCATTGTTTGGGTGTACCACGGTTAGTTTATCCCATTCACCTTCTGAAAGATATGTTGGTTGTTTCTGTATTTTGACAGTTATGAATGAAGCTACTTATAAAATGTTTATATAAATTACCAAGGTTGTTTATGTAAAATAAAGGTGTTCATAAGCATCTGTGTGCAGATTGTTAATATTTTTTTTTTTTTTTGAGAGAGAGAGCGAGAGCAAGAGCAAGAGAGTGCCTGCATGAGAGAGCTGGGAAGGGGCAGAGAGACAGGGAGACAGGATCTGAAGCAGGCTCTGCCCTGACAGTAGAGAGCCCAATGCAGGGCTGGAACTCCTGAACTATGAGATCATGACCTGAGCCAAAGTTGAATATTTACCCGACTGAGCCACCCAGATGCACCCAATATGCAGATTTTTGAGTGGACTTCATTTTCATCTTTTTTTTGAATAAATATCAAGGAGTGTGATTGCTGGATCATATGATAAGAGAATGGTTAGTTTTGTAAGAAACTGCCCTAATATCTTCCAAAGTGGTTGTACCATTTTTACATTCCCAACAGTAGTCAAATGAGAATTCCTGTTGTTCCACATCCTCACCAGCATTTGGTGTTGTCAGTGTTCTGCATCTGTCCATTGATTGTTTTTGCGGTGTTATCTGATTGTTTTAATTTCTAGTTCCTTCATGACATATGATGTAGAGTATCTTTTCATATGCTTATCTGCCACCTGTGTTCTGTCTTTGGTAAGATGTCTTCAGATCTTTGCCCATTTCTAATCATGTTGTTTATTATTGTTGAGTTCTTTGTATCTTTTAGATAATAGTCCTTTATCAGATCTTGTGCAGATGTTTTTTCCTAGTCTGTGGGAGAAAGACTTGTCTTTTATTCTGAAGTGTGCTAGTATTTTGTTGAGGACTTTTCTGTCTGTATTTGTGATAGTGTTCTGTAGATTTCTCTTTTTGTGGTAACTTTTCTGGTTTTGGTTTGATACTGGTCTCATATACATGTATGAGTATCCCATACTTTTTTTATTGGAAGTATCCCACCTTTTTTTATTGGAATAGTTTGTGAAAAATTCTTTATTTTTATGTTTATTTATTTTGAGAGAGAGAGTGTGTGAACAGGGAAGGGCCAGAGAGAGGGAAAGAGAGAGAATCCTAAGCACGCTCTGTACTGTCAGCACAGAGCCTGATGTGGGGCTCAAACCCATGAACCAGGAGATCATGACTTGAACTAAAATCAAGAGTCAGATGTTTAACTGACTGAGCCACTCAGGTGCATCAAGAATACTTTTTTTGAATGCTTGATATATTTCAGTGGTGAAGACATCTGGACCTTTGCTTTTTCTTCATTGGTAGTTTTTTGATTACTAATTCAGGCTCTTCAGTTATAAATCTATTCACACTCTCTTCTTTAGTCAGTTTTGTTAGCTTGTGTGTGTTTAGGAACTTTTCCATATTTTGTTATCTAATATTTTGGCCTTAAATTGTTCATGATATTTCTTTATAATCCTTTTATTTCTTTAAGGTAAATAGTAATGTCTCTCTTTACTTTCTGATTCTAGTAATTTGAATTTTTCTCTTTTTTCTTGGTCAATTTAGATTCAGGTTTGTTGATTTCATTCAGCTTTTCAAAGAACTAACTTTTGGTTTCAGTGATTTTTATTTTCCTAATTCTGTTTCATTACCTTTAGCTCTCATCTTTATTATTTATTTTCCTCTGCCTCCTTTAGATTTGGTATTTTTCCATTGTCTTAGGTGAAGGGAAATAATATGATTTTATTGCTAGTAGAAGATAGAGGTTAAGTTTTCTTTTAAGAGAAAATATCTTAGAATATTACAGTAAGGAGGCGCCTGGGTGGCTCAGTTAAGCGTCTGAGTCTTGGTTTTGGCTCAGGTCATGATCTCATAGTTTTGGCTCAGGTCATGATCTCATGGTTTCGTGGGTTTGTGCTGGCAGCATGGAGTCTGCTTGGGATTCCCTCTCTCTCTCTCTCTCTCTCTCTCTCTCTCTGCCCCTCCCCCACTTGTGCTGTCTCTGTCTCTCAGAATAAATAAATAAACTTAAAAAAAAGAAAATTACAGTAGGAAGTGTTTTGATGCCAAACCTACTATTTTTAGAAATTTAGTGCTTTTTAAGAAGGAGTTAGTGTGATAAGAGAGTGATTCTAGTGAGAATATTCTTCTAGGAATATTTTTTTCTTTTTTAAATTTTTATTTAAATTCTAGTTAGTTAATATATAGTGTAATAATGATTTCAGGAGTAGAATTTAGTGATTCATCACTTACATATAACACCCAGTGCTCATAATAGCAAGTGCCCTCCTTAATCCCCATCACACATTTAGCCTATCCCTCACCCACCTCCCTCCATCAACCCTCAGTTTATTCTCTGCATTATGGTTTGCTTCTCTGTCTCTTTTTCCCCCCGTCCCCTATGTTCATCTGTTTTGTTTCTTAAATTCCACATAGAAGTTAAATCATGTGGTATGTCTTTCTCTGATTTATTTGGCTTAGCATAATATTCCTCTAGTTCCATCCATATTGATGTAAATGGGAAGATTTCATTCTTTTTGATGACTGAGTAGTATTCGTGTGTGTGTGTGTGTGTGTGTGTGTGTGTGCGTGTGTATACACATGTACATTTGGGGTTTTTCCTTAGTTTGATTATTGTTAATGTTGCTACAGACATCAGGGTACATGTACCCCTTCAAATCTGTATTTTTGTATCCTTTGGGTAAATACCTAGTAGTACAATTAATTGCTGGGTCATATTTTTAACTTTTTTTTAACTTTTCGAGGAATCTCCATACTATTTTCCAGAGTGGCTGTACCATTTTGCATTCTCACCAACAGTGTAAGAAGGTTTCTTTTAGGAATATTTTAATGTGGATAATGTATTACTAGTACTGTTGTACTTCATAGATTGAAAAATGGGTTCATGGAGTTGCAGATATTGGTGTTCTGTTTCATGATGCTTTGAAGAGATAAATAAAGTTTTTATTTCTTCTCTTTTAAGAAAAAAACAGTGGTTCTGGAAATAACTCGGATATGATGGAAAACAGCAAGGAAGAGGTGAGACTAATTTGAAACATCTAAAATATATTTATTAATTATTAATAACTAACTAGAGTGTATATAATCAAATTGCTTCTGTTTAGTACATGCATGTGTTTAAGTTTATTGTTATACCCAACTATTATGATACTTCATTTTGCATAGTTTTTTTTTTAGAAGGTGTTCATTGTTTTTATTATTGTGTGTTTCACTTTAGCAATATACCTAAAGTTGTGTATTTCACTTTAGCAATATACCTAAAGTTAGACAACTAAAGGCTTGCTAACAGATAGGTATTTGAACGTTATTATATTGCAGTAGTGACACTCAAGGTGATTGTTTATGAACATGACTCCATGGTTCTGAGAGTTCTCAAAACTGGATATTTAGAGTATCTTAAGCATTATTATAGGAACCCATTCTGAGGTCCTTTACCTGGGATACCCAGGCATAGTTTTGAGATTTTTTCCACCTAGTATAAAAAATTTAATTCAAGAAATATACTGATTATTACTGGCACAATGAAGGTAAATTTAGTATCTCAAAGAGAATTATAGAAGGTACTTTGTGCCATATGTTGGGATAGAGAAAATGACACATTTTTTTACATCCTCAAAACTCCCTGTCTGTTGTGATCTGATTACTTCTATACCTTTATTTTGTCTTTGTTGACTTGGGCAAAAATCATGATAGAGCAGTGCATTCTTACCTACCCTACAAAATTCAACAGTAATCATTTAATTTAAAAAATGAACCAGAAAATTAATCTTACTCTAAGGAAGCCTGAGAATAAATGAGTTTTTGAAGTTCCTTTTATAAAAATGTTTTAGGCATAAAAGTAATACTCTTTATATCACTATATCAGAGATCTTGGTAAAGGGAAACAGTTAATTGTAGGGATGTTTCTTTGATAATTGTATTCACTTTTAAATTTATTTCTCACATTTAGGGAGCTAGCTCTTCGGAAAAATCCAAATCATCGGGATCGTCACGATCAAAAAGGTTGGTTGATACTGAAGGGAAAACGTTTTCAGGATGTTTTATTTTCTTTTTCTAAGAATAATAATCTTTTCTAAACTTATTTCAAGCACTCTTGTTCTAATTAAGTAAACTGTTTTATATAAATGTACACATTAAAAACTGGACAGTACAGTGTAATGAATCCTCTTGTATCCATCAATTAACTTCAGTTATTGATTCATTCTTACTTTGAAATTTACTGGAATTTTCCAAGGAAGATTTATTATGCATTAGTGGCCCTTGCAAAACATAGATTATTTCTTTTAGATTATATATATATGTGCTCAAAGGACAGAGGAGAAAATGAAATGAATATCTCATGAGGCAATAATGCGTTTTTTAGGATTATGTGAAATTGTTCAGGATGGGGAAAGATAGCCATTATAATTATGAGGAAGTTATAAGAAGATCAAAGAGTGGTAAAAATACTTTTGTGTTAAATTGTCAAAACAAATTGTATATAAGGACCTAAACTACTTCAATCATACTATAAAGCATAATATACTGTGGAGTACAGATTTGATTAGAAGTTCACAGTTTATTGTATTGGGCATTTGTTGTCTCTTACCAGTAGGAATGTCTCTTAATAAACACAACTTGCTTGTTATTAACTTATTCTCTAAAGTGGTGATTTTTAAAGAGGAGTTCCCTTCATGATCCCCCCGGTAGCTTTTTCAGAATGAACATACCATGGTCCTACCCCAGACCTACTGAGTCCTAATTTTCTGTAATACGGTACAGAGATGTGTGCTTCCCCAGGTGAGTCTGATGTGTATTTCTGGTTAAGAGCCACTGTTCAATATAACATGTTCTTTGGGTAGTTTTCCAATTGTAAGAAATGCCCATAATTCTGTGGACTTAATTCTTTCATAGGAAACCTTCAATTGTGACAAAGTATGTTGAATCTGATGATGAAAAACCTTTGGATGAAACTGTAAATGAAGATGCTTCTAATGAAAATTCAGAAAATGATATTACTATGCAAAGCTTGCCAAAAGGTAATGTGTATTAATTTTTCATATGAAGTTAAAGTTGAAATGTGTTTTTAAATGTCGTTATTATAAAATTAAGAACTTGATTATTGTTTAGCTGTGTGTAAGGGAACAAAACTAGCATCTTAATAGTGGTGGTCTGGAGATGTATTAGAATGGTAATGATAATGTATGTTATTGAGGTTAAAAACTTAAACTGCAGTCAGCTCTGAAAAAGAATAAAACTTACTTCCTCTTTCCATTGGGTTTTAGAAAAGGGATTTTAGTTTCCAAATAATATTTGAATGTGGAGGTTAGTTTAAAAGTTTAAACTAAGTTTTGGTTCAAATTTAAATATGCTTGCTATATAGGAAAACATAATATTCTGAAAACTTTAAAAAGACATTTAAAGTCTGGTTTAATCTTACTGCATTCTTAAATTCTCTAAGACTAAAAGCTGAAGTTAATTATCAAAGATAGATGTATGTTTTTTAAGTTTTATCTCTTTAAAAAGCCTTGTCACATACCTTTCAACTGTTGCAGTTCTGATCTCAAAAACCTCATTCTTTAGATTGAGGTAAGAAAAAGCCAAATGAAAATCTTGGAAGTTTCATAGCCCAAGTCTGAGAGCAGTATGATTATATGATAAGAGTAATGACAAAGGTCTTGGTAATTTCATGGTGTTTCAGAGTCAAAAGTTTCAATATTTTTTCTTTATTAATATGTTTAAGGCTCTTAGCAGATTTTTCAAATTTATCCTCACAGATCATTTATAGTAGTGTTTACTAAACTTTGTTTTCTGTCTACATTTATATTTTTGTGACACAGATTTTGATTATGAAAGTATAAAAAAATCGTGGGAAGGAGCGTAAGACATTGCTTGACTAGGACAAATTAGGAGTTATAGTAGATGAGAGGTGAAATAAGGAAAAGGAATGAATGAAAGGAAGAAGATAGAAGGAAAATTGGTGGGCCTACCATTTACTTGGCTTTGCATATCATTTATGACAATTTTACGCAATGGTTGATGGCTTAGGGCAGAAACAGCTAATATGGGAGTGTGAGTCCCATAGGCAGAGACTCACCTCGGATCGTTACATTCCTAGTGGTTGTCACTGGGAGTCCTTACGATGGCCACTGGGTGAGCTAAGAAATAGGAATTCAAATCTTTCTTTAAATGATACTGTGGAAGAAAGTTAGTATGGGATGTTTCTAACCTGAAATTAAGCATAATTCTCTTCCACCAAGCCAAAAATAGACCTGTTTCATAAGGTAGAATTTGGGTGATGATAATTATTATTATAGTATATTGAGTACATATAGGTACCAGACTCTTATAGAACTAACTCATTTAATCTGCAGATCAATACTGTAAGGTAGTTTCTACTTGTAGAGGAACAAATTCAGAGCTCAAGGTACTTTTTCAGCTTTAAATTGAGAAACTAAGATTTGAACCCAGGTCTGCCTGAATCCAAAGCTAGGGAGTATTCTTTCTACTCTATTGTTTTGCTTCCATTTAGAGAAGAATCTTCAGAAATAATTCTATTTTTTGTTAATTATAAATCTTTAGCTTTTCAAATGCCATGGCTTCTCTGAGAGTATATATATGAAATGGTTATTGTAAATAAAGTTTTTTTTGTGTGTGTAGATTATTTAAATTCACTAGTTTGTAAAACTCAATCCTCTATGCCTGCTTGCCTCCACCTTTTTTATGGAGACTCAGAAATACATATAACTAGAGGCTCTACCTTGCCAAAATCTACTTGCTTGCTAAATAACATAGGCCCGTATTTCAGGGAGACCACCCCTGACAGCTACCAGGTTTTACTTTCTTAATTATTGCCAATAATGCCCAATTACTAAGCCCAGCAATGTAGGTGAACGTGAGACCTGGACCCTTTTTACTATGCTCCTGCTTTATTTGCTCTTGAGAGATTATAATGAAAACTTAAATTAACAACCTGTCTTCTCAGTTTATGTGTTTTGTATCTAAGAAAGTACATTCTTTCTAAATTATTCCATAGAAATCAACAATTGATCTCATTCTACAGCTTATTGTTAGAACACTTGAACTTAAGTATCTTAAGGCAGTCTTCTGTTTAAGACTCTTTAAGGACTTTTCAGGGTACTGAAACTTTGACATACTAGTTGGGAAATGCCTCAGAATAGGTATAGCAGTAATAGCAGAATTAACTTCTCGCATTGCCTCCCACTATCCTCCCCCAAAGCGATATAAAAAAAAACCCTTAAAAATCTTTTTCTGAGTTTGTGATTTGTATTATGAGAAGAATAGGATGTCGTTTTAAAATTTTCCTTCTGGTCCTTCTATTGTATAAACTCTTTTGGAACTTAGCATGGGTGTTCATACTCAAACGCAGTTTTTTGTGATAGGCAGTGTAAAAATTCAGAACTGGGCTGAGGCTTTCTACTTTATTCACACATTTCTGTTGTAATCAGTTCATAATACCCCCACTCTATTAATTATATTCCAACAAGTAATCTGATTGCTGACACCTGGCCCTTTTATATTTCCCTGTTTTATTTACTCTTGAGAGGTCCTTATACAAGTATTGAAAGCTTGAAAGAGACAAAATTATGTACCAGCAATGTTGGCTTTATCTGAACTGAAGTCTTGCACTTCACTTGCACATTTAATATGTGTAATGGTTTTTTAAATGAAATCATTCTAGGTACAGTGATTGTACAACCAGAGCCAGTGCTGAATGAAGACAAAGATGATTTTAAAGGGCCTGAATTTAGAAGCAGAAGTAAAATGAAAACTGAAAATCTCAAAAAACGCGGAGGTAAATACAAGTGAAAATGAAAACATGAATTTAAATTGCTGTTTATGACCATATTGGAAAATCTGATGTGCTCATTAAAAATACCTCCACTTTTCTGCCCATTGTTTATTAAAAGCACTACTTAAAAATAACTTCTGTTTCTCTCTGAGCTCTGAAGCAGAAAAGGTTAAACATCATTTATCAAAATACCTTTGCCTTCAGTGGCTATAAAGTTATCTCAAGAAGCTTAGCATTTCCTCCTTATACATGTTAGTTCTGTAATGCCTGTATGCCAAAATACCATGTGTTCCCTCTCACCCTGAAAGAATTTCAGATTTGGACAATACCTTGCCTGTGGCCTTCGGGTAACTTTATGTATATCTAATACATTGTTTTACAGAGTTACCTGTGCATTCGTGTTGTTTGGGGTGCTTATTAAAAATGAAAGTCCCTTGACTCCACTCCTAACACATTAGAATTTTTGGCGCTGATGTCAAGAATGAGCCCCATTTTGTTCTTTCCTACATTAAAGTTGGAGATCAATTGATGTAAGGATAATGTAGAGATGAGTAGGAAGGAGAAGGGAGCTAGAACTATAACCTTCCCTCCACCTGTCTGAGCCATCTCTTCTTTTGTCTGTCTACCCCTGCACTTGTACACGCACCATGTTGGCTAATCATCTGTAGAAAGTTAGCATAAGGAGGATTCGTTTAGAAATTTATGTCAGTGGAGTATGTTTCCCATTCGTTTCTGCATGATTTTTAAATAGTGCCGTATTTTTGGGCAGATTAACAGAGCCAGGATCTATGCCTATAACAGGAATGAATCTCTAAAAAATAGAACATGACACTAAATTTCTAAGTAGAAGTATAATGGAAGCATGTCTGTTTAATATTTATTATTTCACTTGTGAAATTATAGAATAGTAGTTATATTGGTGAAATTTTGTGTAGATTATTATTTCAGTGCTATATGATTATCTTGATGGAATTAAAAAATATATCTGTATTTGTTATATATTTTGTCAGATTAAATAATTCATTAGGTTGTTGGAGAAAATCAAGGGAATGTTGTTTAGTCTTCTGTCCACAAGGGGGTGTTCTGCTCCTTTCAAGCGTGTGGAAGATTTATTGAGAATGTAGTTCATAGTAGGGAAACTGTCATTGCAGCAACAGAGCTCACCAAAGCTAAATAGTATTCTTTAAAAAAAATTTTTTTTAATGTTTATTTATTTTTTGAGAGAGAGCGCGAGCAGGGGAGGGGCAGAGAGAGAGGGAGACACAGAATCCAAAGCAGGCTCCAGGCTCTGAGCTCTCAGCACAGAGCCCGACGCGGGGCTCGAACCCATGAACCGTGAGATCAAGACAGGAGCGAAGTCGGATGCTTAACCGACTGAGCCACCCAGGCGCCCCTAAATAGTTTTCTCAAAACAAGAATCAGCAAGTAGAAGGTGATTGATGTAGGGATCAGTAGCAAGAGTCTAGAGGACAGATAACTACGTGTACTGCATTGTGTCAAAATTAATATCTAAGTGGTGTCTTTTGGGAAGGACTCTGGAGCAGTCAGTGTCTAGAGTGTGTGTAAGGACCAAAAGGAGAATGAAGAAAGAACCATAGTTGTTGGGGAGGGTGTACTTAATGCCACTTCACAGTGCTGCTGGTGTTTGGTCTGAGCTGGTATGTTTCTGGAACATTTTATTGAGTGTTCTGTGTAGTAATGTTTATATCATGTTAATGAAATATGTATGTTTATAGCCATATAGTAGCACCTAAAGCTCTCATGTTAATTTTTGTCTTAATGATTTGCTACATCTTTAAGCTGTCAGAAGTCACATGGGAAATTTAACTGTGTTTACTAGTATGCACGTGTATGAATAAACTAGTGATCTTAGGTACTGAATTGCTAGTTAATATTCAAACTTCCTAGGAAAGTTAATTCTATAATTGAAGCCTAATTTAGGAAATGATCAAGAAAGTAAACTGTTTATAAAGTAATCTTACATTGGTTGGAAACAAAATTAAACCTAAAGATATAGCTATATGGACCATTTCAGGAGACACTTAAAAAAAATACCATAGCCTATTTTGACATCCTTTCCCCCATTTTGTTAGAAAGTTTATTTTACATCTGATTTTTCTATCTGGCACAATAATTTTGTTCTTTTCTTTTTATTTCTTTTTATTTTATTTCACATTCCAGTATAGTTAACATACAGTGTTATTTTAGTTTCGGGTATACAATATAGTGTTTCAACAGTTTCATACATCACCCAGTGCTTATCATGACCAGTATACTCCTTAATCCCTATCACCTATTTTATGAATCCTTGCACCTACCTCCCCTCTGGTAACCATTAGTTTGTTCTCTGTAGCTAAGAGTCTGTTTCTTGGTTTCTCTCTCTCTCTTTCTTTTGCTCATTTTTTTCTCTTAAATTCTTCATATGAGTGAAATCATATGGTATTTGTTTTTCTCTGACTTACTTTGTCTAGCATCATACTTTCTAACTCTATCCATGTCATTGCAAATGGCAAGATTTCATTCTTTTTTATGGCTGAGTAACATTCCATTATGTATATATACCATATCTTCTTTATCCATTCATCTATCAGTGGAAACTTGGGCTGCTTACATAATTTGGCTATTTTAAATTATGCTTCTATAAACAGGGGTACATGTGTCTCTTTGAATTAGTGGGTGGGGTTTTTTTTGTATTTTGGGGGTAAATACCGAATAGTGTGATTACTAGATCGTAGGGTAGTTCTATTTTTAACTTTTGATGAATTTCCGTACTGTTTTCCACAGTGGGTGCACCAGTTTGCATTCCCACCAACAGTGCAAGAGGGTTCCTTTTTCTCTGCATCCTTGTCAACACTTTTTTTCTTGTGTTTTTGATTTTAACCATTCTGACAGATGTGAGATGATAGCTCATTGTATTTATTATGATTTGCATTTCCCTGAGTGATGTTGAATGTCTTTTCATGTGTCTGTTGAAATCTGGATCATGTGTATGTTGAACATCTTTGGAAAAATGTCTGTTCATGACCTATGCCCATTTTTTAAATAGATTATTTTTTTTTGAGTGTTGAGTTTTAGAAGTTCTTTATATATTTTAGATAATAACCCTTTATTGGATATGTCATTTGCAAATATCTTCTCCCATTCTGTAGGTTGTCTTTTAGTTTTGTTGATTGTTTCCTTTGCTGTGCAGAAGCTTTTTATTTTGATGTAGTCCCAATAGTTTTGTTTGTTTGTTTGTTTTTGCTTTTATTTCCCTTGCCTCAGGAGACATATCTCGAAAAATGTTGTGACAGCTCATGTCAAGAGACATTAGTACCTGTGCTCTCTTCTAGGATTTTTTTTTTGTTAAAGATTTTATTTTTAAGTAAGCTTTGTACCCAACAAAGGGCTGGAACTCACAACCCTGAGATGAAGAGTTGCATACTCCACTGGCTGAGCCAACTAGTTTGTTTTGTGTGTGGTGAAAGAAAGTGGTCCAGTTTAATTCTTTGCATATAGATGTCCAGTTTTCCCAGCACCATTTGTTGAAGAGACTTTTTTTCCACTGGATATTCTTTCTTGCTTTGTCAAAGATTAATTGACCATATAATTACGGATTTATTTCTGGGTTTTCTGTTCTGTTCTATTGATGTATGTGTCTGTTTTTGTGCCAGTACCATGCTCTTTTGATTACTACAACTTTGTAATATGACTTAAGTGTGGAATTGTGATACCTTCAGCTTTGCTTTTCTTTTTCAAGATTGCTTTGGCTATTCAGGGTCTTTTGTGGTTCCATACAAATTTTTGAATTCTTCTAGTGTGTGAAAATGCTGGTGGTATTTTGATAGAGATTGCATTAAATCTGTAGATTGCTTTGAGTAGTATAGACATTTTAACAATATTTGTTCTTCCAATCCATTAGCATGGAATGTTTTTCCATTTCTTTGTGTCATCTTCAGGTTTTTAATTAATGTTTTATAGAATTTTGTTTTATTTAAATCTATTAAAATGTATTGAGCCCAGAAATGAAAATGCCTCTTTTCCATTTCTACACTATGTTATAACCATTAAGATATTTCACAACTAAAAATAAAAGTTTAAAATATATGCATATAGAAACAAGTACAAAAAGTAACCTTTGACCATTATTCAGTATTTGGTTCACATCTCCCTTAAATGAAATACTGGTTCAGTCCTACTCCTCTATTTCCTCCTCCTCCTCCCACCCCTCTAATAATGATTATTCTGAAGTTTCTATTCATATGCGTATTATTTTCATGCATGTTTTTATATTTTTCCTATAGATGTTTATTCACAAAGCATTTATTTTTCATTTAAAAATATACAAAATAGTGTCCTCTATATTCTTTTGCACCATTTCACATTCAGCATTGTTTTTGAAGTGTGCCATATCAGTAAAACGTACATCTAATTTTTTATTTTCCACTGCTGTATAAAATTTTGTTATATGAGTAAACCATTATCCATATCGCAAATGGAATTTTTTTATTTTCAAAGTTTTCTAATTTCCTAAATAGTGCTGCAATGAATATTGTGTATATGATTCTTTGTGCACATGTGGGAGAAATTCTCCAAAGGATCACTGAGTTTTGATTATTGAGTGATATACGTGCAAAAAGTACATAGAAGATGTTTAATATTTATTATGTTAACATTGGATGAATATTCATATTCTAGCTTTTGTTAGTATATCTGAATTCAATCATTATTTGAAATGAAGTACACTGTGTATTTGTTTCTACTAAAACAAATACAGAATGAATCCTCAAGATCAAACACTGATGTAGGACAGTTTGATTTAAAATAAAATATTAGCAACTTACATAGTGAGTCTTCAAATTTTCTATATTGTCTGGAAAAGTATGATGGTGCCCTTAAAACTTGTTTAAACTTTTTTAACTTCTGCAAATAAGAATATTTGTGATAATGTTTGGGTCCATGGTGTCTTGCACATAAAGAGTAAGAAAAAAACCAAAATAGAATATTAAAAGGTGAGAAATATATGTGTTGTTTTGTCTTTTATTTAGATATAGAGATAGTTTATTATTCTTCTAATCATCTTTTTATTTGTGAATGCAGGCGTTTTTATTGGCTTGTTTAGAATCCTAATCTACCATGTTACTTGTATCAAGGTCTTGGTTGCACATCAGAACCATCAATAAAACTAAAAAAAAAATGTCCAGGAGATTCTCAGAGGTTTAGGGGTGTAATGGCTGTCTCTGCTTTTAAAAAGTTTTTTCAGAGAGGATTCTGATGTTCAGCTTAGATTGTGAAACACTGCTCAAGGCAGAACTAGGGACAAGAGTAAGGCAGAAGAGGTTTCCTCTTTGTCATGTTAGGTTATCTTCAGTCTGTTTTCCTGCAAACACTGTCTTTCTCGGGTTTTGCTGCCAAGATAGATATACGTGCAAGTCTTATTTGTCCTTATTTGGAAATAGACCATGCTGATATGGAGTGGATAGTGAAATTGACATAGAAGGCAGGTTAATGGGAATTATAGTGAAGTAATCTGAGGGAGATGGGGATGGTATTGAAGTAATCTGAGGAAAGAAATTGGTAATTTAAAATTGTCAGGTTTTCACACACTATACTGGAAGAGTCTATGCAGATATTTTTATTTTAAGGATAAAAAATTAATGGCATATCTAACTGAAGTATAAGGTTACAAAAGACTTACATGTATATCACTTGCTTCCCTGTTCATTAAGAACTGATAATTAATTTATTTGCAAAGCAATAGCAAAATGAAAACGAGCTCTTGATCCCTATTTTTAGAACTTCTCTTATGGAGTTTTTATTAAGTTGTTGTGGGAAATAAGATTTGCCTCTAAAGGAAACAGATTAGTATTTCTAGTTCTAGAATTTGCAAAGGTTGTCATGTTTTAGTAAGTCCATAAAATTATTACCTTTTGTGGCCAAAATGTCACTTTTCTAAGGATTCTGAAGTATTTAATTTCCAATGTAAAAGTAGCACAATGCTGACTAAAGTAAATATCTTTTTTTATGTGTGTGTGTATGTGTGAATAATGGTCACTCCTTTCTCCTAGAAGATGGGCTTCATGGGATTGTGAGCTGCACAGCTTGTGGACAGCAGGTCAATCATTTTCAAAAAGATTCCATTTATAGACATCCTTCACTGCAAGTACTTATTTGTAAGGTATGTAATCATCTGTTTATAAATCATTCCACAAATATTTGAATGCTTACTATATGTTAGACTTTTGGTTCACATTGATGAAGAAGATGGAAATGGTCTCTGTCTTTGGAGGACTTAAACTGTAGTGGAGAAGACAGACAGACCAAAAAGCCGAATAAGTGACACAATAGGGGGAATACTATGTACTATGGGAACACACCAGAAGCCTGTGTAATTTGGAGTTGGGTAGGGGGACTTTATAATGGAGAATGATATAAGCTGATATCTGGAATATAAATACGAATTAGCCTGGTGCAGTGGGATTGGTTCAGCATATTCTAAGCAGAGGCAACATGGTATTCAAAGACTGATAGGTGAAGGGGAGCATGGTGTGTTGGCAAATCTGAAGAGTTTATGTGTGTACACATGTGTTTTATAACCTATGAATTCTGGTTAACCAAATCTAAGCTTTCTACATGGGACAAGGTTTTGTCACAAGATAATAGAATTAAAAATGCTTCGTATGTGTTGAAGACAGTTTTAACGTTCTGTGTATGTTCTTTTATTAGTAATACCTTGGAGTTAATTTTAAGTATCTATAATATTAAGGTTATGGTTTCCCTAACTCATTATTGCTAAGATTAATTCTGTGTTAGTGTCCCAACAAAATGCCTCCTTGAAATGCAGGGGCAGACCAGATTTTCCTCAGAATTCCAATTCTGGATCATTCATTATTTGAATTGTTGATATACACCTACTTAAATGGACTAAATTTACTTTCTCCTTTAGTAATTTGTGTCACTCCATTCTTTGAATTCAGTTTAGCCAGGAGCCTATTTATGGGACATGTTTTAGCTTCTAGTTTTCAAATGTGGTAACTGAATTTTATATTCCTGGATTTGTAATGTGCATTTCCTTTCTCTTATATATATAATTGATGTTTTTCCAAGGACCAGTCTGTTGAGCCTAGCCCAATTCAGTAATCAGTACTTTTCAACACTGGGCATGGAACCTAACCTTTTTCCAGTCTTAGTGAAAAGGAATTTAAAGTCCGTGGGACTTGGACTTGAATACCAGCATTGGCTCTTAACTACTTGTATGACTTTAGAAAATTTATTTATGTATTAATGATAATGAATCTTAGCCTTTTCTCTCAAATTGGGTGTAATACCTCCTGTCTTCCATAATAAGGGCTTGAGATTTAAAGGGAATGTAGCTTAATGTACGATAATGTTGCTTAGCTGTATACATAGTAACTGTTGATATATGAAGACTATTAAATTCATTAAGTAGCAGCAACATCTAATGCATTTTTATGTAGAGGTTTAGTAGCTAGTTGTATGGGATCAGAAATTTGCTTTACCAAAATCTTCTGTAAATTTTATATAAGGAATAGTGGTACTTGATGATATGGAAATCTATTTCAAGGAATTAATTTTCTTCAGATATTTCTATGTCTGGAAATATTAGAATACTACCCCAGCATTGGGCAGTGCAGTGTTTTTGCTTTTATTCTCTAAAACACACACACACACACACACACACACACTCCCTTTACTTTTTTTAATGACTTAAAAATAAAGTTTTTGTCCATTATGAATGTTATTCATTTTGAATTTAAAATTTCCCCTTCCCCTTTTCTTTTAATAGAATTGCTTTAAATATTACATGAGTGATGATATTAGCCGTGACTCTGATGGAATGGATGAACAATGTAGGTAGGTAATAAATCATGATGAGCTAAAATTCAGTACTATCTACTTTTTTGGGGGAAATTCTTACATAGTATGTTATTAGATCCATTTTTTATAGTATCATCATTGATGTATCTAATGGAAGGTTATTTTTTTCCACAAAACCTTCAGTTTATGTCTCTTTTAAGTTTCCAATAAAGAATAGGCAGATGATCCAAATAACTTTACTATTAAAATTCCTGGCACGAAATTTTAAGTTGCTTTAAATTTTTTTAATCTTTATTTTTGAGAGAGAGAGAGAGAGACAGAGTGTGAGCAGGAGAGGGGCAGGGAAAGAGGGAGACACAGGATATGAGGCAGGCTCCAGGCTCTGAGCTGTCCACACAGAGCCCGATGCCGGGCTCGAACCCACAAGCTGTGAGATCATGACGTGAGCTGAAGTTGGACGTGTAACCACTAAACCACCCAGGCACCCCTAAGTTGCTTTAATAATGAAGAAATTTAAGGTGAGAGTAATTTGAGAATAATATTTACTTTTTTTTTTTTATTTTGAGAGAGAGAGAGAGAGAGAAAGATAGAGAGCATGAGCTGGGGAGAGGGGCAGAGGGAGAAAGAGACAGAACCTTAAGGAGGCTCCATGCTCAGCACAGAGCCCAATGCAGGGCTTGATCCCATGACCTGAGGTGAAATCAAGAGTCAGAGGCTTAACTGACTGAGCCACCAGGTGCCCCTGGGAATGACATTTTAATATTTTAATAATTTCAGGTGGTGTGCAGAAGGTGGAAACTTGATTTGTTGCGACTTTTGCCATAATGCTTTCTGTAAGAAATGCATTTTGCGCAACCTTGGTCGGAAGGAGCTCTCTACAATAATGGATGAAAACAATCAGTGGTATTGCTACATTTGTCACCCAGAACCTTTGTTGGACTTGGTTACTGCATGTAATAGCGTATTTGAAAATTTAGAACAATTGTTGCAACAAAATAAAAAGAAGATAAAAGTTGACAATGAAAAGAGTAATAAAGTATATGACCATACACCCAGATTTTCTCCAAAGAAAAATAATTCAAATTGTAATGGAGAAGAAAAGAAATTAGATGATTCATGTTCTGGTACTGTAACCTACTCTTATTCAGCACTAATTGTGCCTAAAGAGATGATTAAGAAGGCAAAAAAACTGATTGAGACCACAGCTAACATGAACTCCAGTTATGTTAAGTTTTTGAAGCAGGCAGCAGATAATTCAGAAATCAGTTCTGCTACAAAGTTACGTCAGCTTAAGGCTTTTAAATCTGTGTTGGCTGATATCAAGAAAGCTCATCTTGCATTAGAAGAAGATTTGAATTCAGAGATTCAAGCTTTGGATGCTGTAAACAAAGAGAAAAATACCAAAGAGCATAAAGTCATAGATGCTAAATCTGAAACAAAAGTACGAAAGGGAGAAAAACCCTGTGCTTTGGAAAGGAAAGATTTTTCAAAATCAGAAGCTAAACTGTCAAGAAAGCAGGTAGATAGTGAGCACATGGATCAGAGTATTGTAGTACAGGAACAAAGAGCAAATAAAAGTGCCAGTGGTGAACATAAGAAATCTGATAAAAAAGAAGAACCTCAGTATGAACCTACTAACACTTCTGAAGATTTGGATATGGATATTGTGTCTGTTCCTTCCTCAGTTCCAGAAGACATTTTTGAGAATCTTGAGACAGCTATGGAAGTTCAGAGTTCAGCAGGTAATCAGGGAGATGGCAATAGTGGAACAGAGCAAGAATTGGAGAATTCTTCTGTAAAATTAAGTATTAGTTCAAAAGACAACAGAGGAGGTATTAAGTCAAAAACTACAGCTAAAGTAACAAAAGAATTATATGTTAAACTCACCCCTGTTTCCCTTTCTAATTCGCCAATTAAAGGTGCTGATTGTCAGGAAGTTCCACAAGATAAAGATGGCTGTAAAAGTTCTAGTCTGAACACCAAGCCAGAGAACTGTGGACTTGGAGAGGAAAAGAATGATAATGAGCATTTGTTTGAAAGTGAAGTTCCATTACTTTCAGAAGAATCTGATCTTCGAAGATCCCCACGTGTGAAGACTACACCCTTGAGGCGACAGACAGAAACCAATCCTGCAACATCTAATTCAGATGAAGAAAGTAATGAAACAGTTAAGGAGAAACAAAAACTATCCATTCCAATGAGAAAAAAGGATAAGCGGAATTCTTCTGACAGTGCTGTAGATAATCCTAAACCTAATAAATTGCCTAAATCTAAGCAGTCAGAGATTGTGGATCAGAATTCCGATTCTGATGAAATGTTAGCAATCCTGAAAGAGGTATCCAGGATGAGTCACAGTTCTTCTTCAGATACTGATATTAATGAAACTCATACAAACCATGAGAAGACTTTATATGATTTAAAGACTCAAACAAGGAAAGATGATAAAGGAAAAAGGAAACGAAAAAGTTCTACTTCTGGCTCAGATTATGATATTAAGAAAGGCAAATCAGCTAAAAGGTCTATAATTTCTAAAAAGAAACGACAAAACCAGTCTGAATCTTCCAATTATGACTCAGAATTAGAGAAAGAGATAAAGAGCATGAGTAAAATTGGGGCTACCAAAACAACCAAAAAAAGAGTTCCAAATAAAGAAGATTATGATTCTTCTGAAGATGAAACACACAGGAAAAAAGGAATGGATAATCAAGGGCAGAAAAGTTTGAAGATTGCACAAGAAGGATCATCTGATGATGCTGAAAGGAAACAAGAGAGAGAGAATTTCTCTTCAGCAGAAGGCACAGTTGATAAAGACAAGACCATCATGGACTTAAGAGATCGAATGTCTAAAAAGCAGCAGTCAGGTGTTTCTTCTGATGGTGCTAAGTTGCCTTCAGGGAAAGAGGAGAGTTTTAATTCTCCAGAAGACAAAAAGGTTGCTGAAACTAAAGAAAGGAGTAAGCATTTGAAAACCAAAATGGGTAAGAGAGTACAGACTGGATTACTGGACATTGCTGAGAAGTTCCCAAAGAAAGAGCAAAGTGATGAATCCTCTGAAGATGATAAAAAGCTGAGCAAAAAGGGAACTGAAGTAAAAGAAAAGAAAATTACAGATTTGAAGAAAAATGTAATTAAGATGGAACAACAGTATGAATCATCATCTGATAGCACTGAGAAATTACCTGAGGGAGAAGAAATTTCTCGTTTTCCTAAAGGAATAAAACAAAATAAGAATGACACAACTTATGGGGAAAAGAAAAGAAAACAAATAAAAGATAAAACTTCTGAAAAGAAGGATGAATTATCTGATAAGGCTGAGAAATTACAGGGGAAAAGAGATAGTTGTGATTCTTCAGAAGATAAAAAGAGTAAGAATGGAGTATCCAGTAGAGTGAAGAAAAGGTGCAACCCGCCTGGAAAGAGTTCAATGAAGAGACGAGATTGTTCATCATCTGATACTGAGAAATATTCCATGAAAGAAGATGGTTGTGATTCTTCTGATAAGAGACTGAAAAGAATAGAACTGAAGGAAAGAAGAAATTTAAATTCAAAGAGAAATACCAAGGAAGTACATAGTGGCTCATCATCTTCTGATGGTGAGGAAAGTTCTGAAGACAATAAAAAGCTGAAGAAACAGAGAACTTCAGCTAAAAAGAAGGCAGTCAGTGTCAAGGAGAAAATGAGAAACTCCCTGAGAACAAGCACTAAAAGGAAGCAAGCTGACATTAGTTCATCATCTTCTGATATAGGAGATGACCAGAATTCTGTAGGTGAGGGGAGCAGTGATGAACAGAAAATTAAGCCTGTGACCGAAAATTTAGTGCTGTCTTCACATACTGGATTTTGCCAATCTTCAGGTATGCAAAAAATAAATAAATTTATAATTTATGATTTTACCCTCATGAATAACCACATTGTTTAATTTTCCCTGAAGCCAATCAAATGCAAGGTTACTGTTTAGGAAAAGCCCCTTTAAAAATTCTTTGAAGATTTACTCGAAAGCCTTCCTTCATTTATTTTTATGGCATCATTGGAAGGTATGCCAAATATCATTAGTATTCTGTATCAGGTATACCAGGTTTGTTGGGTAGATGACAGAATTTCTTTACCAGTGTTCTGGAGTAGTAAACAGTAGTTCATGAAGGAAAATCAGACCTATGCCAATAGTTCTGTAGGTATATATTCATGTAATGGAGATCGTGTGTGAAAGTTTTAACTGCTTTGCCATGTATATGATTTTCTATGTAATCTCTACACCCAACACAGGGCTTGAACTCAAAACCCTAAGATCAAGAGTTGTATGCTTTTCCAACTTAGCCAGCCAGGCGCCCCTGCATATGGCTTTTTAAATTGGGTAGATTAACTTTGTGTCCAGTGAAATTCTCTGAAAACTTTAAATTTACTTCATTAAACCCATTACTGATACTTGTCAATTTTTTACTAATCACATGAACAGATGTTTCTGTTTATAACAAAAGAAAAATCCAAAAAATAGATGAAGTATCTTTCTCTGAGGAGATAGAGAACTAGGACAATTAGGATTTGGGTTAACCTGTTAGTGATACCCCCCCCCCCCAAATAGAATTGTGAAAATAATTTCTATCATTACTGCAGTTCTTAAAAAACAGTTGTGTAATAAATACACGTCACTTGCATTGTCTTTTTTTTTTTT